AAAAAAAAAAAGAAAGAAAGAAAAAGAAAGAAATGAAGAAAAAAGAAGTCAAAGATGTGGCTCTATTTTTATCTGATGCATGGGGATTGTACTTAGAACAAAATAAACCACAATGAGATCCCTAGGTATAAAGATCTTAAATGTTCTGAATCTTGCATTCTACTTCTAACTAATGTAGACTTCTGTTTGATTTCTAGCTAAAAAGTGGACTAATTCTTACTATTTCAAACGACCTGAACCAAACTATGAATTCTCACCTAATGTGAAAGATTCAATGGTTGCAATTATTTTAAACATCAATTTAGTATTAACTGGCCATTTAATACAAACACTACCTTGTCAAACCACAATAAATAGCACAATCTTCTGCATCTCAAACACATATATCTTGAATAAAGACATTAATATTTTGCTGAAGAAAAATATTGACAATACCTGATGAACCATAATGTATAGGAAGCATGAGGGCTGTTCTAAAATAACAAACAAATAACTCCATTCAAGAACTTTAATAAAGTCATTACTAAACAGCTAGTTTGATACACTTTATCAATTTAATATCCTGTCTATCAATGTAGACATAATAACCATTTATATGCACTAGCTTGTGTCTATAAGCATCTTGGGTGCTTGAGTGTTCATCTTTGTAAATTATCACCAAGGCTAAAAGAAAGGGACAACAAGGAAGTCTCTTGTTCCACTGCGGTATGACATAATACAAGTTGCTAACTTACAGTCCCTTGATGGCCAAGAAACTGTGCTGATGTCATTTATCTAAAGTAGACAAAGATTTAAATGAAGATTTCCCCTTTGCTTTCCTAGTCTGTTATGTTGTAATTCATATCATCTAGGAGTCAGATAAGAGCTATCTACAGCCTCAAAACAAAAAATAATAACAATAATAATGGCAATACTAGTAGTCATAAACTAAAAGTCCACACTTCAAAAATTAATAAAACGAATACAAAAACCTTTAGCTAATATAAGATTACAAGACCAAAAACATCAGATTACAAATAACAAACACTCTATAAGAGAAAATGAATCCTACTGTATGTTCTTTATGTTGCTTAGTCCAAATATTTGCTTTTCTACCTGATTATTTGTGTTGATATTTTTCACTATATGCCAATAATTATGTTAATCTTATTGGTATTTCCGACTTGAGTGACTCCACTCTAGAACACTCAGGTTTTTATTTTAAACAAGAACTACTATACTGTCTCATCCTATCAACAGCATTTATATTTTCTTGGTTTTTCACTAAAAATTCCACCATCTGCTGTCTCCTGCAAATTGTAGCAAATAAAAGTGGTATGTTTCCATCCTATAAAACAGAAAAAAAACATTCGAAAAATTACAAATTTCTCAAATGAACTAAAACTCTTCTCAAAGATGTTTTAACTTCAACATACAATACAGGAAGGAAGCAAATGAAAACCAATCCCTTCCTTCTCACTCCTCTGTGCTTTCTGATGTGCTGATCTTTGCCTTGCAAACACCCCTCCTCTGCCTCATCACATTAACTGTGGTCATCACCAAAACTACCTTCAAACATACCAGTCCCAAGAATCCTTGCTTTGATCACAGCACTTAGCATGCACGGTATATTGTAATCACTTCATTGTTTCCCACTGAAACCAAGAGCTTCTTGAGAGCAAGGTGTGTATCTTTTATCTCTACAGCCCCCAAAGCCTAAAACATAGTAGCAAATACTTTAAGTTTTTTACATAAATTAATGATCTAAATTATTACCTCTAGAGTAGTGTTTCTTAACCTATATTCCAAAAAATATTTGCTTATTGTACCCCAAGAGAAAGACTCCATGACAATCTGCATATGAGAAGTATTACAAAACTGTATTCTATATCCAATAATGAAGAAATCTCTTGAAATTTACCTAATACCTATCTGACATTTTGTGGCAAATGTTAACATGTAAGGAATTAAGAGTTTCAGAGATACAGTTTCCAGAGCTTCCCAATACAGTTGGAAGTTTCCTCTGGGTGGTACAAACTTGCTTGATTCACTTCTATCAATGATGTTAGGATCCCAGATGCCAACATCAGGCACTCCTGCTCCAAATGAGTCACTAAGGAAATGAGATCTGATTTAAGAATGATTGGCTTCAAATATAAATATTTTCCATATTATTAAATAGTCCATGGATTTCTTTCAATACAAGAGAACAAATTTTTGTCTTAACTGTTATAAAGCTCAGTATGTTCTGTATGAGAGAGAGAGGTTTAAAAAACTTAAAAATAAATATTAAAAAAACCAAAGCTTAGTAAGAAATTCTATTTTCAACTGTAATGGTAATGCTGGGACCNTCCATGGGTTTTTTTTTTAAATACAAGAGAACAGATTTTTATTTTAACTGTTAGAATGCTCAGTGTGTTTTGTGTAAGAGAGAGAGGTTTAAAAAACTTAAAAATAAATATTAAAAAAACCAAAGCTTAGTAAGAAATTCTATTTTCAACTGTAATGGTAATGCTGGGACCCTAATGCAACTCTACTTTTTAAATCCATTTCTATTGGTTTCCATTTAAATGGCTATTTAAAATTACTTTTTATTTTAGGCTAAATATAAAGCAAATACAAATATAATGGCTTATCAATAAAAGTTCTCATACTGATCCATATGGGTTATTTCTAGCATAATGAAAGTCAGTAAGTCACCTGCATTTTTAAGGAAGATTGCTGAGGAGAAAGATATAATGTCTGCAATATTCATAAACTATCTAAGTATAACCTGGAATAACCTAAAAAAAACTTCTAGGCATTTGTATGGGAAGATGATTATTTGCGGTATAGATAAAGAGTTTTAAACTAAATTCTAAAATTCAACTCTATAACTGAGGGATTTATATAATCTATAGACTATATATTATAAACAAATACACATTGACTTAAAAGCCTTGAAATCTTTATCAAAATATCTTACAACATAAGAGTTGCAAACTCAAACAGAAGGACAAAGGAAGGTTATCTGAGTAAGGAAAGTACTGATGTGGGCACAATAGCAAACTGGAAAATATATGCCTTTTATAAAGAAGCACCCTCTGCACAGCAGGCCAACAGTGATAGAAACTCAGGGGACACCATATTTGTTTTTTTAAGACAAGTCTGAAGTACAGATTTCTGCATAAGTCTTCTAAATTTTACATGTTGACTCAATTTATAGAGGCAAAAAATTTGTGCACATTTAGAATATAGCCCTTTTGTTTTTATATTTGCTATGAATGTGAAACTAAATGGCTGTGTATAATCCAAGTATTTGCATGTAAAATATTTTCTTTCTCTAGTATCATATGTTTTGCCAAAAAAATCAGGCCCTCATATATGATAAAAATTGCTATTAAGACTCATAATACCCACTTCAAGAATTTTTCCAACATGTATTCATATATAATCTATTTCTAAATGATTTTCCCAGATTGATAGCCAAATAGATAGTTTACATGACTGCCAAAACGAAATTATTAAAATAATTTCCATGGAAATTCTTTTAATCAAAATTCTTTTGATTTATATCAAATTTATATCAACTTCATGGATTTCAGTGTGTAAAGCTGACATCCTGGTTATGCTAAAGATCTAAAAACTTAACAGACATACTGAGATGGTTCCTAATACAACTTCAACTAAAAAAAAAAAATTTAGGATTGGCTATTATTCTAATTGAGAAAACCCAACTTGTAATGAACATTTGTTGACACATAATCACCAGTATGGTGACAAATGGACATGAAATCATTAGAGTCAGCTTCTACTTATTGAAAGATTACCCATAAGCAATTTTTTAAAGACTATGAATGGCAGTGAATGATTAATGCTGGGGAAAAAAGGTGTTACTCTGTAAGCTGAGAGATACTGCCAATAATATTCCCTTTTACTTCCCAGTCACAGACAGAGAAAGACAGGTAAGTCAGGCTAATCTTACTGAAAAGGAGAACTTTGAAGAAAGTAGCACCTAGCAAACGCCAACTCTTATAAAAATTTTTTTACATTTTTTAAGATACAGAAATGTATATATTGCACTTATCAATTCTGGGGTTCTTAAACAGGAGTGCATCCAAACCTCAAGGTTTTTTTTGTTTGTTTTTTGCTATTATTGTGATTAGAGATAAGAATCTCACTATGTTGCTCAAGCTGGAATCAAACTCTTAGGCTCAAGCTGGGACTAAAGGAACATGCCACTGTGCCCAGCTTCAAGAAAACATTTTAAACACACACATTCAGGCCTTATTAGATCTATTACATCAAAAGCATGAGGGGAAAGCCTAAACTTTTAGATTTTTAACAAAATTTGCTCAGGTCACTATAATGCACAATTCTGAGAATTAGTGCAGCAGGCAATCACTTCAGTCTCATCCCTCACCCACATGGCTAATTCCCTTTATCAGTTGTAGACGTGGCCAAAAAAAAAGAGTAAGAGATAGAGTCATTTATTAAATCTACATTTAATTTTCATGGGTATGAATAGAACAGGGACAAATGAACTCAAAATCCAACTTTACTTTGCTACTAATAAGCTCCTTATCTCCCATCTTTCCATCAAGACATTCTAGATTTGAGAGGAAAGTTTAGACTCTTAGATCTAAGTGGCTGTTTCTGCCTGGATGGGTAATAAGTCAGTTAATAATTTGTTTCACCTTCTGTTGAAGTGTTTCTCATTTTGTCACCACATATTCACTGCCAATATGGTTTCCTCAGAGTCCTTCTAAAACTAATCTCTAGGCAAGTTTCAACTCACTTTCTTTTTCAAACCAAAATTGATTTGCCCCAGAGCTAAAGAGCACCTGTCTCAACACATAAACTGGAAGAACAACAAACTAAAAGACTCTTCTTGGCATTTTCCCTTATTATCTAATTTCCAAGTGACCTGTGCATTCCCGATGGCTCTCCTTTTCCCTTCCCATTTTTCCCTCTTAAGCCTTGCCACTGAGAGATACATCAAGTTTTTAGAAAATTGTCAGCAGCAGCAAGATGTCCATTTATTCTAAGTTGCTTTAGTTTTGTTTGAGTTTTAAGATAAAGCCTATTTTCAGGGCATATTTTCTTTCCTGTGTTATTTTACATTATTTAGGAAAAAAAAAAAAAAAAAACACACCCTGCATTAAAAAAAAATTGAAAAGGTTTTACCTTTAAGAAATTCACAAATATTTTCCAAAGTGTATTTTAAAAAGTTGTGCCCTTTAATGCCTCTTTCAAATTATCATTATTTAAAATATGATTTGAGATAATTATTTCAAAATAACTTAATTTGCTTGCATTCAGTGAATGCTTGAGCTTCCAAATATAAAAAAAAACTGACCCTTACCTATGTTAAAGTTAAAACAAATATTTTCAAAAGAATGTTGATTGCTCTACACCTTGTCCATTGCTTCCATATTGCATCACGAGAAAGCAGTTTTTCTGCCAGTAACATACCCTCATTATACCCAGCATAATGGAGAGCAGTGATGCCATAGACATCCTTAAGATGTGGGCTGGTGCCATGTTTCAGCAGAATGATGGCACAAGTCTCTTCCCGGCAATGTACAGCCTGTCCATATTAGATCAAGAAATAGATTTTAAACTCTAAGAATTCAAAATACACATTCCACAGGTTTCACCAACTAGTTATATTTAAATAAGATAAATTTATTTTAATTTTATATATATAAATCAAACCCATGTCATGCTGAAAGAGTTGGCTACTATATACCTGTATTAAAGGTGTTCTGTTTTGTTTGTCACAAAGGACAACCTGGCACTTTCTGTTCACCAGGAGTGTGACCACTTCCACAGCCACTGGCACAGGCCAAATGTACAGCAGTAGTACAAGAGTAAGAGGACCTTTTAAGAAACTGTAGTGCAATATCTCAAAACATACAGTCATTCACGGAATTGTCAACATTAAATAGCATATTTTTCCTCTTCCTTCTTTTTCTTGAAGAAAGTACAATACTTATTAGCTCTTATTCCTCACTACCTTAATGAAAACAGCAGCCTGTCTGAATAAAAAGAGCTTGGTCTTTGGATTCAGTTCAACCAGGGTTTCAGTCCTACTTTAAACTCTGTCATTTACCAGCTATTTCAGCATTCCTGTGCCTCAACTTCCTCATTAATAAAAGCAACAACAAGAGCTATCTCTTATCATGACATCATAATGCTTAAATGAGAAACTATGTAAAGCATTTAAAATAGTTCCTACAGCATCAACTCAAAATTGTCAGATTTTTGTTTCTTGAGACAAAGTCTCACTCTTTTGCTCAGGCTGGTGTAATCATACCTTACTGCAGCATGGAACTCCTGGGCTCAAGTGATCCTCTATACCCAGCCTCCTGAGTAGCTGGGACTACAGATGTGCACCAGCATGCTCAACTATTAATTTAAAATTTTACATAGAGCAAGAATCTCATTTTGTTGTTCAGGCTGGTCTCAAACTCCTGGCATCAAGTGATCCTTCCACCTCAGCCTCCCAGAGTTCTGGGATTATTTCTATTACTGCTACTTAACAAAAAAATTTTAATTAAGTAGGGCCGGGCGCGGTGGCTCACGCCTGTAATCCCAGCACTTTGGGAGGCCGAGGCGGGTGGATCACGAGGTCAAGAGATCGAGACCATCCTGGTCAACATGG